GTCCCCGAGGCCCACCCGGCCCCGCGGTCTCCGGAGCCATTGGGGAATAAGCAATCAAAGAGGTCGTTTCCGGACCCTCCGCTCGGGAGTAGCTCTAAGCCCGACGACCCCCCGACTGCGCCCATCCCTGCGCCCCGTGCCGACCGCGTCATGGTCGTCTCCAGTACAACCCCTGGATCCGCTGATCCCGGGCCCCGGGTCTCGAGGAGCGAATCCTCGGACCACGACGCCCAGGCTTCCTCAGGAGGCGAGCCCGCTTCGGCGCTCGCAGATACTCTGGGCCCCGTTCTAGGGCCCTCCGAGTGCTCGCCCATGGACGCCCAAGTAGCATTGGCCCGGTCGTTCGTAATGGTAGCGATGGCCGGGGAAACTCTTGACGTAGTCTATTATCACCAAGGCTCCGACTTCGTGCTTTTAGACATGCTCAAGAACCAACTGGCGTATCTCCCCGACCTCAGCGATCTCCGGCCTGAGGCCAACATCGACGATGCGATCGTCGGTGAGCCCGGGGAGTCGGACCCCGAAGAGGAGGAGCGGCTCCGGGCCGTCCTCCGGAAGCATCGTATGATTTTCTTGGGAGAGGGGAATGCACTTCCTCCCCCCGCCCTGGGCGTGGTGTGCGACTTGGACATCGGGGACGAAAAACCCACTTCCATGCGATCCCGGCGGATCCCCGCCGACTTATTGTCCAAGGTGTACGAGTTGCTCAAGCGCCTCCTGGAAACGGGCCTGATCGAATATTCCAACTCGGAATGGGCGTCGGCCATCGTCCTCGTGATGAAGAAGAACGGTACCGATGTCCGCCTGTGCATCGACTACCGGTTGGTGAATCAGCTCATTAAGCTGATGAACTACCCCCTACCCCTGATCGACGAACTCATGAGCAATTTCGCCGCCACCATGTGGTTCATGACCCTGGACATGGCCAGCGGTTTTTGGGCGGTCCCGATGACGGCCCGGGCCCAGCTGATCTCCGCGTTCATCTGCCCGCTCGGACACTTCCAGTGGAAGCGCATGCCGTTTGGACTCAAGAATGCTCCGT